TAGAGTTGGTCGTTTTTGAAGATTACCATTTCAAATTTTCATTATTATTATTTTAAAAAGCAATCAGTAGGTAGTATTCTTAGAGATTTTTATGGAGAGCTTATTTTTACTTGAAATTATATTTATATCTATATATTCTAGTAAAAATGGATATCATTACTGCTTGATATCAAGCTGACAGGGAATTTGGTATCTGTAGAAGCCAAGTGCCAAAAGATAGTTAGACACTTTTTTCAAATAACTACAATTTTTGATATATTTGATAGCTTGAAAATGATAACTTTAGCAATTGATTTTCCAAAGTTAACTATGTTATGTATTACTAGTTTTTTATGTTAAGGTTTCATTGTATCATTTGCCTGTTTATCTTTTTTTCAGCAATAACTTCAGCTATTAATTTGCCATGGCCCTATAACTAGTTTTTTTTTATTCTTTTAAATTGGCAATCAGTGTACCATAATTCATATTAGTAGTCTTTTCTAAACGTTGTCCATATCTGTACCTATTCCAAATGGAACATCAGCAAATTTTTGGTAGTACTTTTTGTTAGAATGTCTAAATTAAATCCCAATACAGTGATTGGACGTCCAATCATCAGATTTAAATATCAAGTTTTTAACTCCGAAATCGGTGGTTGCATTGTATGAGAATCACGTACTAACAATTCGTCCCTTATATCATTCTATCAAAAAATCGATATTCCATCTATCGAAATGTATAATCCAATTCCACCACCACCTTCCTTCACCATATTTTTTAAATTTATGCTGAAATACTTTCATAAAATAACATAAATGTTTTATGGAAAATGCAATATTCATGTTCAAAGTGGTAATAAGTTATTTCGCCTTTGGGAGCGCAACTGTATCGCCTTCGACCTGATTGCGAGCGCACAGAGCAAAAAGAACACTTTTATAAATCCAATAATTTTTCTTATGCGGTTTTATGTATTCTTTTTCCTTCACTCAGTTAGAACAACATTGAGAAGATGCTTTTGCAATTGCTGTTTATTTTAGTACATTATCTTTTTCGCAATTTATTTTATGTGTTTGAGTTTAGCGGATCAATAAAATGTTTAACAAATTGGAACTCGTACGATGCCAAATGAGAAAAGGATGGCGAGCAAGTTCAAGGTTGGGGAATAATTGTTTTATTGCAAATTTATTTTTTACACTAATAAAGACTAACTCTTTAAACTAACAAAACGTCTGTGCTGTTTTTTAATTGTAATCAATAGTGAATTCAGGTGATTTTTTTTAACTTCTGTTATTTTACATCTGTGTAATCTTCAATTAGATAAACGACATAAAATTAGTTATAAAGTGGTGCATGGCATCGTGCCTTAAGGCACAATTTAAAATTTTCATAAGTTTTAATATTTTTGGAAAATTTTCTAAAAGTTAGATATTTTGGAGAACTTAGAAATTTTTGAAAAAAAAATCTACATTTTGAAAAATTTGAAGTTCCTTCCTGAAAGAATAGCAATCCAATTTTTTGCAAGAATGGAGCATCAGATTCGAATGATTCAAAAAAACATTTTGCTTGACAGAATGAAAAATTGATTACATTTTTGGGAACGGTCCAGCGGTTTTGGAGAACCGGAAAATAAGTTGAAATGATGTCATTTGACGGTCATTCTGTTTTTCTAATTTCTATTTTAATTACAATAAGTCTTATAATTAAAAGACATTCAGTAATTATTCTGAAACTTTACAAAAGTGACGGTCAAAAATGTTCATTAAACATTAAATCATATGCACATCATCTTATAAAATATTTCGTAGAGATTTTAATTTTAAAAGTACAATTTTTGTTTTCATTTCTATGGGTTCCGTACCAAGATTTATAATGTTTAAACTTCACTTATTTCAATCAAACAAATGTCATCGACATTTTTGACAGTATAGATCAACAGTCTTGAATATGTATCAAATTTTTCAAAAAGTAGAATTTTTTTAATAAAATCAAAATTTTCAAAGAAATTCAAATATTTCAACAATATTTCAAATTTTTCAAAAATGCTAGAGCTTTTAAAAATCAATTCGAACAACTATATAACTCGTCAAAAGGTGAATGAAAAAAAAGTTAAAGCAATTAAGTTTAAAACGTCTTATCTTATTCTCAGTTATTTGTCCCATTGGTTATCTTAACATTGTTCCCCAAAAACAACCTATTTGATTTCCTTAACACAAAACTGCGTCAATAATATGATACATAAGAAAAATAAGATAATTCAATTCAACTGTAATGGATATTAATAGTTTCAAATTTATAAACTTTATTTACTCAGCTAGTCAAAACAATAGTGTCTACGTGAAAATTATCATGTACGTCTCTATTTCAAATCATTTTCAAAGTATTGTGTTATTTCTTATTATTCTATAAACATTTTACGAATTTGTTAACATAGCAGACATATATTCAAAACAAGGACAAAAGTACAATTAAAACTTATTATAATTATATGTATGTCAATAATTTACTTATTTTTAGTTTCATGATTAGACTACATGTCTCGGGGCATGACCGATTGGTAATATTTATATGGAAAATGTTTTGAAAAGAACTTTTGTGAGGAACACATCGTTTTATCAAAAGATGTAATTAAGTAGACATTATAAAGCAAGTTTGATATTGATGAACTGCAATAGATTTTCACAGGGTTCATTGATCTTTTTATTTTGGGACGACGTATCAGTTTTTGTTTAGAACAGTGTCGATATCCTTATTACGTATTTTTTAGAAATTTTGATCTAAAGTTTCCACCAGTAATGATAAAAAATATAAGTCTAGCAATAAAGATTTTAGAACAACTTTATACCAAATTTTAAAAAATCTTATTGGACGACTTAGTATAGCAATTTGAAAAATATAGTTCAGTCTTTTACTTTTTTGTATTATCAATGCAAAGAACTGCATCTCAGGACGTAGTTCTTAGATTTTTTTCTACTTGATGGGCAACTATTTTTAATGTCTTATGTAGTAGTTCGAGCAATTACCCATTATTAAGACATTAATGTTGTTGTTTTTATATTAGAGTGATCACAGCATCATATTTTCCAATTTCATAGAAATAGAATAATTGAAACACATAATGTCAATGATTAGGAACCCAAAAATCATACGTAAAATTTTGTCAAAAATATCAAGTAAGAAACCACTTTTACATATATTGATCTATCAAAAAAATTAAAACAAATCTAAAATATGAAACTTAGAAAGAAACTTAAAAAATAGTTTTTATTAACAATGCGCTTTTTCTATAACGATGATATTGAAAAAAAAATTGGAAACTAAGAATATTTTTTTCATCAATGCTGTGTTATTAGTTATCTCACAAGATTAACCTTAAGTCAACTCTTTTAGGATTTCTATAAAACCTTCTATAGTGATAAAATATTCATTTTTTTCATTCCAATTTCAATTAGAATCTTTTATCATAAATGCATTCAGTAATTGTTTTGTTATTTTAAGAAAAGTCTAATAGAAGGCAACCTAGTAGGTAGTTCTAGTTATGAGATATTTTGAACATACTTAATTAGCATTTTTGGCTTAATTATTTTTAGCGGCAATCATCACTTGTTGTCATATTTTAGATCTATAACTTCAAGAAAATATCCGGCATTACTACTGCTTGATATCAAGCTGGCCGATGTGGGCAATGAACTCGGTACCAGTGGCCAGCTCAATGAATTATTAATTAGTGGCATGTTAAAAGCATTTTAAGCTGTTATTTCAATAATTATATGTTTTCCTTTTTCTATGATGATTGACCAAATAATAGCGTTTTTGCTAATTATATTGTCAACCTGAGGAATTTTATAAAACGATCTCACTCCATACTTGATAAGTTACATTACTCTATTATTATACCTAGCTTATAAATCATTGTAATTATCATCAGAAAGTTAAAATAGATACTTTATAAGGAATGCAAGTTACTAATCGTTTTTCAAAGTAACGTCCAGCTTTCAAATAAGTGCATAGCAGAAACTATACATACTAATTTTCTCAGAATTTAATAAGATTATTGAAATGATGTCATTCGGGAAATGAGTAATAAAGCCTCCATATGGCGGTCATTCGCCACATGCGATAAACTAAACTAAATATAAATATATATAATGTTTATAGTTTGTTTCGAATGATGACATTGGATTTTCTTATGGTAACCCGTCGATATTTTGCACTTTTTTGTTGATTATAAAGAAACGGCTTGGACGATCGTCGCGAGTACTTATTGAGTTACATCAAATGGGTACTAAAATTTTGAGAAGGCAGTTCACAAATAATTTAGTCCTCTTTTCGACATCAGGGAGCAAAAGGAACGAATCATACATCGAAAAGAGATCTTTGTAATAAATGCAAGTCTCTTGTTTTTATCGGTCTGTTTTTAGAAGTAGTTAGAGTATAAGTTGAAAGTCAATTTTTTTTGCTTGACCTCGAATGAATTACCCTGAAGTGCTTACGAAATACGTACCTCGTAGTATTGTCATTGTATAGGTATGTCATTTTGTCCACAAGTGAACAGTAATGAATAATCAAAATTCCATCTCATAATTGCAATGGAATTGATTGAAATCTCTAGTATGAATTGTTGGTTCATTGGTTCATCGTTGGTTCATTGATTTTAATAGAAATAATTACAAAAAACAATAAGACATAATAAATTTTTTAAGGCACCACTATACACGTTTGAACCGGTTACTGCGACAAGACTGTGGCAATGACGCTCAACATCTGACAGTGTTGTGATTATGGCTTTTTTCTACTTTATACAGTTGCAGAAACATTACTAAAACTTAGCGAATTTTTAAATAAAGCCAACTGTGTCATTTTGTCCATATATACTATTTTGTCCCTACATGCGCTTGTTCCAATATTGGTCTCAAACCATTCAGAATGACTTGAAACGTCGAGCAAGTCAAATTTTCAAACAAAATTTCTCCTTCTGGAAGTGAAAAATTAAAATCTAAAAAAAGATTTTTTTATTTCTATACCGTGTTTGCGAGTTCGCCTCTGCTTTTGCCTCTGCCTGTGTTGCTTCTTCTTAATCTGCAGCTGTTTTCCTTCTACACAAGACACGCTGCTGATTAGACCAGATCCGAACTCCACGATCTTCATCATACACATCAATATGATGGCTAGCATAACGGCGCATTTTACAAAGACGCATTTGTTTGATAAAACTATCTCCACGAATCACTCACGATTTTTTATTACAGTCACTCTAAACGGTATTTGGATCACAAGTTTTCTATTGTACTACTTAAATTAATTCGAATAACACTAAACGTCCGTTCTAATTAATATCACAAACGATGAAAGTATCTATGAAATAACTCTAAAGTCAAATGTCATCACAGCCGTAATAATGGAACTTGGGTAATAGTCATTGTATCAGTTACAATTATATATATATATATATATATATATATATATATATATACAGGACCAGTCCTACCTTGAATGCAATGCATGTAAAAAATGCGAGCGCACGCCTTAGGGGGCGCCAAAACGAGATTCGGAAATAAAATTTATTATCTCTATTTTTAAATATAAAATCAAGAATACTTAATAGGTTATAATGAATAATCTAACTTAACTATGGTTACGAAGATACAATAAGGATATTTAGTTTGCAATGTGATATAAGTAAAAACAATTAACCAATTAATAACTCCGCAAATTAATATATTTTTGTTTTGCTTATTGCTTAATCTCTATTAAATTTTTTTTTGTTTGAAGTTAACGTGGAATCGAAAAAGAAATCATCTAGTGCTCAAACCTGCGAAGGATTAAATTAATTATTGGGCATTACAGAAAATATAAATTTCTGCTTTGAGAATTTAAAACCTAACCCTTATTGTTGACAAAGTGTAAAATATACTACAAATTGAACTTAAACAGTCGTTTAGTTACAAAAAAGAAAAATATACTAATATTTCTATATATTAAAATGTGTCTTCAAGGGAATTTATATGCGTATTATACAAAAAACATTTCATAACAAATTATTAATTAGCTATAAACTTTTACTGAAAATCTTAAAAACTCGACTATACAACAAGCTGCCGGATGAAATAAAATCAATCACAGATTTAATCAAAATTCAAGTTAAAAACATATTAAAAACAAATAATTTTTTTTATATAGAGAAAAAGATTGCTGTTAGTGGTATATCTAAATGTTTGTATGTATGTACGTCTATGTATAAATTATAGAGGTGTATATGACCTATTGGTAAAAAATTGAGACAATGTGACCTGACTGTGTAAAAGTATGCACAGACAGTACAGATATATTTTAATCAAAAGTTATAATATGGATGAAGTAGAAAATGGTCAATTACACAAAATCCTTATAACTCGTGCAAAGTATATAATTATTACTAATTAACAAAAACTTCACTGATATCTATAATAACTCTGAGCACAAAAACTTAATTTAACACGAGTTTATTATCGACACTTAACAAGTTTTACACATTGTACAGTTAGAATACTATTCCAGAATAAACACACACTGTGCACTGTGCGCTCGCATCATCAGCCGAGCTCTTTAAGAGTCACAAATATATGATAACAGTGAAAAATTATCATCGACATGATGATGATGCGGCGGAGCAGCCGAGTTTATCAGACTCTGGCTGTATTTTTTCCCTTATCGCGGTGACCGCGAAACTATCGAAAGATCGCAATGTTTTTATTTATTTACTACACGGGAAAGTCTTTAGAAAAACACATGATAGACAACGTGTATCGTATATTAGAATGATTTACATTGAAATTGCTGCCGCGTGCTTTTTTGAGACGAGAACGCGTCAAATCAAAACCGCAGCAGCTAACGTGCAGAACGCTACTAGAGCGGCGCGCGACGTGGACGTGGACGTACAAACACGTTCGCGTTGGGACGTATATAATTATTTTCGTATATGTAGTGTAGACTCCGATGCACAGACAACATATTCACCAAGACGATATATATACACACGGATGTACAAAACCCTAACAATAATACAACAGAAAGAGCTGGTTTCGGATTCTGAACGAATTTCTATATGATCATATGACGCGATTCTCCTATATTCAAATATTAACATCAAAATGGTTAAATGCAAGGACGTCAAGAGTCACATTTTCTCTATAATGTGAAGAGCAGAATTCTTCCTAGAATATTCCTACATACATACATTTGCACATGTTTTAGAATAATTAGTTCAATGTAGATCGCTTTCATATCTTGACGTCATATATTGTTTTATAAATCTATTTTTTCGAAACGATATGTATGTATATACAAGGATATAGCAAAACCCTATCAATACAATCATATGGAAGAAAGAGGTGTTTTCGGATTCTGAACGAATTTCTGTGGTACAAATATAACAACATGATCATATGACGTGATTCTCCTAAACATCTATGCACATATTAACATGATAATGGTTGGATGCAAGGATGTCAAAAGTCACATGTGTCCCGGTTTGGCCGAGACAGTTTCGGATTTCCACCACTTGTCTCGGGTTTTTATAAAAGCAAAATTTGTCCCGGATTTAGATTTTAGTTTAAATTGCATCTTCTAAAATTGCAGTTACGAATAAAAATGATATATACAACGGATATGCTTATATGAAATAATACGTTCTAAATGAGAAAATTGCCAAAAGCGGGTTAAAATAGCTTCTCACATAAATAAATTCGAACTGCTTTAACTGCATAGAGACGAAATATCGAAGCGCGTAAGCGCCGCGTCGCCGTCTAACGGATAAACATTGGTACGGAACCCATAGGAATGGGAACAAAAATTATACTTAGTGTTAAAATCTCTATAAAGTATCTGATAATTTGATGTGCATATGTCTAATGATCATTTTTGACCGCCAGATCTGCCTTCATAAAAATTTTATCAGTTTTTCATCTTGTTAATACAAGTAAAATGTTTTATGAATTATTCAAATCGGACGCTCCGTTCTCTTAAAAACTAAGTTACTGTTTTTGGCACTTTTTGCCCCATATCTTTGGAACGGCTAGACCTGCCTTTGCCAAAAACTAATCAGCACGTCTCCTTATCAATACGAATCGAATGCTTTTTGAATTATTCAAATCGCTTCATCTGTGTTCCCGAAATCATCGACAAAAATTTGTATCCGCACACACACACATCCATTTTTTCTAAGGTATGCCAAAATGTTCAGAAGGTTTTGAAACGTAAAGATATATAAAAACTTTCATTTTCGATTTTTTTTGCGATAACTATAACTTGCCCTACGGGAAGTTAAAAACATGTAATCGAAGAATAAAGTTTTTACTTAAGGGTTCAAAATTATGTTGTGTTTAAAAAATTGATTAATTAAAAAACAAACCTGTTTTTAATGCATTCTTCAATTTTATTGGTTATTAAGAGAACCTCTACCCCTCCCCCCGTTCTCAAGTAGCAATTTAAATTTGCCTTCCCGGTTTTGACTTGAAAAAATATGGTCTTCTTACATTTTCTCTGTATGTCAAGAGCAGAAATCTCCCTAGAGGGTATTCTGGTGTAGGAGCATGAATTTTAGGCGATTTTAAAATTTTTTGAGCAAATAAAAGAAATAGTCCAAGTTTCAATTCTAGAAGGTGATATAGTAAGGGGTATAAAAAATTGTCTCTTGACTATACACATGATTTTAGCCCTCCAAATAATCTAAAGAAAACCATATTTACATATTACTTATTTAGAATATTGTCGCAATCGTATAAAGTTAAAAAAATGTTTTTAAGCGCCTGTTAAAAACAACTTACAACTTTTTTTTTGATGTTCTCGAATTTTTTAAAAAATAGTTAAAATCGGAATTTGAGGATTAGCGTAGTCCGAACTCTGTAAACATTTCAAGTCAATCGGTCCAGTAAGAGTCGAGAAATCGTGGGTATCATATCAAAAAAGAAAGTTTGCAGAGGAAAATTATCGTGTCCAAACAGCTATCTCCAAAAATAATTTAAATTTGAAAAAAATTCTGTTTTGCACATATTCTTGAACAGTTAAGCTTTGAAAATCAAAAATCAAAATGGTTTTTTGTTTTGCAAATTATAGACCAGAATACTCCCTTGACACGATCTCGTGATATCCGATTACACACATATTCATGGTTCACCTAAACACCTATGCAAATAATACCATTACAGCATTGCTGGTTAAATGCAAAATTTACATTTTCCAAATATCGCTCTCCCCAGACTATTTTCTTCATTTATAAACATACATACATTTGCATATGTTTCAGAATAATTACTTCATTCTAGACCGCTATAACTGCCTCACATATGACGTCAAGTATATTTTGTTTTATAAATCTATTTTTGGGCAAACCGTTGAAATGGTTAAATAAACGGATACGTTGAGACATTTCATAATACAAAGTTGTTACACGTGTTGAATTTGTTTTAGTTCATACATGTATTTTTATTAATAATTATTCTGATAGAGTTTCAAATCAATACTTTTTGAGTTCCTATTCATAGACTCCAACCTTTTGCATAGTTTGTAGCTATTGGAGGTTTGAACTCATATAATGCAATTGTTTATATATATATATATATATATATATATATATATATATATATTGTGTTAATGGCTTTAATATTTAAGCTTAAATCCCAACTACCGTTGCATTGAATGGGAAAACTTTGCCTGAGGCGCATATGAAATATTGTCTTCGAAGTACAGTTAGTTTCCTGTGCGATGCACCAACATGCGATATCTTGTACTATTGAAACTTCTTTGCTTTTAATATCAATGATAAAAAAAAAATTTAGATCAATAAATAAATAATGTACCACCACCAATGTATGAGTTCCTTAGATTATAAGGAAAAAATATCTTAACGACAACGCTAATTTATTAACAAGTAGAAATAATCCTTCTCCAACCATCAGGTTGTCTGCTATTTAAGTTTCTTTGCAATTTTATACCAATGAAAATGAAATTTTAGATTAATAAACAAATAATGCACTAATAATAATTCTATGAATTCCTTAGTACAAAAGGAAAAAAAAGTTATTTTAAGACTTTCAATCAGTTAACCAGAATTTTATTCAGATAAGACCATGGAAATGTTGATTATTTAATATTCTGTGTGAATTAATTATATTATGACAAATTTAAATTTTATCAAAGATTTTTTTTCTCATGATTCTATTACAATCTGTTTTTTCTTCAGAAAACATTTAGTAATTATTATGACTAATATGTATAAAATTAGGACAAATGTAGAGTTTACCCAGTGGTTTACTATTTTTTGTGATGATTGAAGAAGTTTGATCAAACTTGTTTCTTATTTTTTAATCTTCTAATTAAGTTCCTGTTGGGTAAGTTATAGTAACCGCAAAAAAAAACAAAAATATTTTTTTTTATATATATCTTTACGTTTCAAAGGTTTATGAACAATTTGGCATACCTTAAAATAAAGGGATGTATGTGTGTGTATTTGGATACAATTTTTCGTCCACAATTTTGGGCGCACGGATCAACCGATTTGAATGATTCAAATAACATTCGACTCCTATTGATTAGTTTTTGGCGAAGGTAGGTCCAGCCGTTTCAAAAATGGTAATTCAGTTTTTGAGAGAACAGAGCTTTCGATTTCAATAATTTGAAAAACATTTTACTTGTATTGACAAAGTGTAGAACTGATTTTTGGGAAGGCAGGTCTAGCGGTTTCGGAGATTGAGTAAAAAAAGTAATAAAAGCCATTTTGCGGTCATAAATGATCATCAGACATATATTCACATCAAATTATCAGATTAATAGAGATTTTAATAAAAAGTATAAATTTTGTTTACATTTCTATGGACTCCATACAAATGTTTATAAATTTTCAAAAAAATTCAAAATATAAAAAAAATCAAATTTAGTCAAAGTTTTTCGATAATTTCAAATTTCTAATTTCCCAAATTTAAATTTTAGGTATGGAAAGTACCAGCAATTTGCCTTAAGGCACGATACCATGCACCGCTAGTTGTATTTAAATCAAAAATCTCAAAGCGCGTGATTATTGTAAATTTTATCACTAAAGACCTATGCACGTCATCGAAATTTCACAAATCAATAAATTATGTCCATTCAACAAAGCCCTAGAACTATTTTTATCGCCATCATATTTTTAAACAGTCTAAATGTGTTTTCTAACTTTTATCATTCATTATTCACATCTGAATAAAGAAAGGCGTGATAATTTATCTAATGTGTGGTCGATGTCTTCCGAAACGCATTGCGACATAATGTTGCTCAATCAGAAAATTTCTTTTCAGAGATAACATTTTCTTAATTTGAATCGAGTGGGTGGTAGCAGGGACGAATTTCGAGCCAGAAATATGCCTATAGAAATCATAATGTAATAAACCAGACTGGGAATAGATAGGAGAATGTATTGATATAGAGACTATAATGCTAATGAGTCGTAATGTCTAATTTTAACAACACATTGATGGTCAAGACGGTTATAGCATTAATTTTATAGCCAGTAAACACGCAGAGCAGATTTTTGATTA